TCTTTTATGCGCATAATATTAGTGAACGTGACGAAGAAAGCATTTAGAATGTGGAAAGGGCTCTGTTTGGCCTAAAACGTAAAGTTTCGACAAACCAGTTGTCCATTAAAGACTTTTTTGGTAAAAAGAAGTAACTTTGAAAGAGAAACATTGTTTGTTTTTTTAAATTTTTTAATGCTTTCCCGCATCTATCGTTTTCCCGCATTCATCGTTTTTATTTCCCACCCCCGCCGAAAACGATGCATCGAGGTTTCACTGTACTTCCTTATTTTGACATATGGAACAGAAATGTGGATATACCACCATATTAAAAGTCACAGAAATGATGTTTATATAGACTATTTTTAAAAAAACAAAAACAAATAAGACAGGGTACATCTCAAAATAGCATACCAGGTAAAATTTAAAGGTTTTATTTTGTTTTCAACAGTTCATATATTCAACAAAAATAAGTTGGGTGTATCTTATGTGATTGCCAAAACTGTAAGCATATCATTCTTTTGCATTTCACATGCTGTTTTACATTGTCAAAAAACCAAGCAACAGAACAAGCATAAAATTCAGTACCCATTTATAGAGGTTTTGAATGTAACACTTACAAGTTGGATCATACAATTCAACAAAAATTTCACAGATAGCACACTGTACTCATACCTTCACGAGAGATCTCATCCAAAGTACATGAAGACAGAAACAGTGAGATCTCTCTGGAAATAACTAAATGTTAATTAGCAAGTATAGATGACAAAATATTATTTTCACTGATACCAGAAGGGGGGTGGGGGGAAGTTGCAGTTGTTAAGAGAATTCTAAGGTAACAAATTTTGGTAGTTCTTTTTATAATGGGGCAAGACTTATGTCTCTGTGAAACTGCCACTAATGGGCAACCCATTGTCCATCACCCAGATGATTCAAGAGTGAATATGGAGCAATAGTATTAGGAAAACCTAAAGGACTAAGAGACAAACCCTTCCCAGTGCCACTTTGTCCATCACAAATTCTGTAGTGACTGGCCTGAGAGAGAACCCAGGCCTCTGTGGTGAGAAGATGACAACTGCCATGCTATGGCATGACCCCCTTTTTTGCAGATACACATCATTACATTTTTTGTTACACTGCTAGTATTTTCATCTTAAAATGTCTGGGGTTCAATGTGTTTAAAGACTTGGTAAACTCACTTACTCTGTATGTAAGAGGTGGACGTCCACCCTCCAGGATGCATTCTTTCACTGACTCGTGACCTTCAAATGGTTGGTGTAGTGTTAGTAGTTCATAGATAAACATGCCAAAAGAGAAGCAATCAACCTGCCAACAGAAAGGCCACAGCAGATAGCAATACTACCGCAACAAAATTACCATGATATTCTGGTAAGCAATGCTCTTAAAATCTGTTAATTGCAGATTTTTACTTTCATACTTCTGTTCACTTTAGGATATATATAGATGATTAAAAATGATGACACAGGAAAGACTGAACAAAAGTAACAATACCATATCTCAGCATTTGCAGGACTGAGGAATATCACAAAAACCTAAGGTAAACATAAAGTTGTCCCAGGTACTTATTAAGCATCATGCTATAAAGATGTATGGGCATGTGAGGTAAACCT